ATTTAAATGTTTCGCAATTAATGTGGAGTTTAGATGTGAAATCAAAGCTAATTTAATGGATTTAATTCTAGGACTAACTTATTTGAGTACCAAGTATATTATGGAATTTTCTAACAGTTTTAATGTCAGTGGGATAACCTCATACGTTACTCACAAGGTCAACATTTGAAAGTGTAGGCAACGATTTGCCAAGTAGACTACTCAGCATAATGAGTTGAGTAGAGCACTCATTTATATGTGTGATAAATTAGAATTTCTACGTCGTATTTTTCGTTTTGTTACTTTTATTCTGCCATATAGAAGTAGAAACCGATAATCTCTATGCTGAAAAAATATGAGAGAAAAATATTAAAAGAATGCTTTTAAACGTCACGTACCACGCAAAGAGAGCTTGTCGATTTTTTTCGATTTATTACTTATATTTTAAGCATAAAGATTTAGTCCTCCAGATATAAATATATAAGATAAAGTAAAAATAAATGCATTATTTTTCGATTAAATTGCATTAGTATATATTTATAAATATATATAGATTTTATATTTTAGTTTTGTATATGTATTTATATATATCTTTAAAAAATAAAAATACAATAAAACCATGTTCAACTTGTAATAAAGTGGCAATTCGCTCCGCTTTACCAACACTCTGTTAAAATTATTGTAATTAAGATCACGTAGACCAGTTATCTTCAGTCTCAAATTAGAATACAGCATTAGTGACAACAAAACTTCCCTAATTTAAAAATTCAACGCATATTTCTTCATTTTGCCAAATTAATTATCGCTTTCAAGAATTTTTGCACACTAATGTATTAGCGAATTTATATTTGTTTTGGGAACTATTAAGTGTTAAAAAACTTTTGTTGGCGATAGTGATGATAAATTGATTTTTAGAGGTAAGTAAAATATGCTGTGGCAGTCAGTCTGCTAAATGTTTAATACTAACATACTATGTTATGAGGGAAGAGAGTATATATTTTATTATTTAACAATTTCAAGGCCACTATTTTATACAAAAGTTAACAAATTCAAAACGAAAAGTAAATAAAACAAAATAAATTAAAGAAATCTTAATTTGTTAGTGATGTAACTAGCTTTCGATAAGTTTTCTATTTATCGCTTTATTAGTAAGGTTCATGTCGCCGCAAGGTGTAGAGTCAATTGTACATAAATAAACATGGATTCACCTTGCGTATGATTTTTTCAATATATAATTGTTATTATCTAAGTGCATTGCCCCTCTTTGCGCCGGCGGCAACTTTTACGTGTTGCATGCAAATTTTCACTCACATTATTTTTAAGCGATAATAATGAATGCTTTTATGCGCAAATAAGCGAATTACAAATCAATACCAAAAACAATTCGTTAATATTATGCACTCGATTGATATTGAATTATCATCAAATTTTGGTCATAAAAATCGTATCAAGGACACATACGAAATTTCATTAATTTTCGGCAGAATCGCAGAATAAGCATTATAAACGCCAGCACGCAGATGTGTTGAATAAAATGCATAAATATAGAAAAATACGTGCATGTACAATATATAAAAAGCAGCAGAAGTAAACGCTGCTCGTTTGACAGCCGAAGCAGAACGCCGTTGAGTCGCGGTGTTGTAATCAAAATGCAGCGCAGCATACGACTGGCTTTGTGCGTTTGTGACAAACAAAGCTTGAATTTTGTTGAACTTTTCATATTTTTACAATATATTATTGTTAACTACACGTTTTTGCTATACATTGACTGAATTGCACTCAATTCACGATTTCTGGCAAGCGCTTTATGCTTTTGTAACATTTACCAACCGTTAAGTGGCAGCAAATATATAAATATATAATATAAACAATAATTTTTAGGCACTAGAACTGCAGCATGCCAGTGTAGCTTCTGCGCAAGCGCGCTTGCAACACTTACACGCTTCAACGTTTTGCGCTCACCTTCAGCGGCAATGCAATTGCATTCAAATTTTAATATCAAGTGGATTGAAACTAGTTCAAATACCTATCTTGAATGCATGCGAAGCACAACAGCCTCTGAACGACTTTGACTTTGTTTGGCGCTGTGTATTGTCGAATGTTGCTGAGATGTCTAACTGACTATGAACTGTCTAACTGACACACATGGTTGCATTGCAGGCAGAAGCATCAGCATCAATGACAGCACTGCCAATTCGCTGGCAAAAGCGCGCAAACGGTAATGGGAATCACGCTTCCGCCCAGCTTTGCCACTAACGCGTACCTTCTCAACTGTTGTCCACAGCTGCCGCAGCCATTTTTTCTTCGTTTTTTTTTGTAGGTGTATCTGTTGACTTCATTAGCTGCTGTGCATCTGCAACGGAAATTGGTTTCCGCTTTGTGTTTGCATAGCTTATGCAAATAATCTGCACTTGTAGTAAATTTCAATTACCTTGTCAGCCAGCTGTAAGGCCGTTACATGCGTTTGCGTGTAGATCATGCATCTTCGGCTACCGCTTGCCACCCTAAACAAAGCTCTGCTTTATCATTTGCCTTTCAAATATCAGCACCCATTGCTTTTTTTCCTTTGCCGACCACTTTTTCGTTATGCCGTCTGCTACGTCGCTGACGCAACATGTATGCGCTTAATGACAGCGTCAACAGTAACAACATACTTAGCATAGCCCATGCGAATGCCAACCACATTTCGTTGCGACCTACCTCGGCATGCCGTTAGAGGTGGTAACATTTTGATTGCATAATACCACTAATATTGGATTTTAAAGGTTAGTATATTGCAATGAACGTTTCGTTATTATATTTGTGTGTGTGTATATGTTTACAGCGCAAAAATCGTCGTTCGTTTCAATCGAAGATGTTACTTTTTCAACTAACTGCACTTTAGTATAACTGCTGGCAATAGCAGAGTTTTGGCTTGTCAAAGCATAACAAATGTTGTTGCTATTGCTTGTTGTTATTTGTTTTTATTTCAATCAATTACCATTAGTTTCGTATGTAGCATCCATTACCAGCTGGCGTCTGGCTGTTGGCACGAAAAGGTTAAACGTGTTCCAGCTGATGGTTGTGGCAAATGGTTTTTCGTTTGAGACTTCTTCACTTTTGATTACTGGTTTTGGTCGTAGTTATTTCTCACATACATAAATAACTTTTCGTTAAAAATTTTCGTAGTATAGTTGCAATTTTGAAAGGGCAAAAGGTAGCCATAACAGGTGCAGCTGTATATAAGTACATATAATCATTTACATTTACATTTTGCCTATTCGAATTTCACTTTTCCACTTTGCATTGCAATCAAACCAAACTGCACCTAATTCTCCAGTTCTTCTACACTTTAAGCTATAAATACATTAAATTTTATAACCATCAACAAAGTACAATTAGTTTAAGTGACGAAGAAAATTCACTACATTTATTGTTTTTTTAATATCTTCTTAGTTCTTCTTTTTAACCATATAAGAGTACCCAGAGTAGTCTTGGCTAACTTCAGAATATCTGTTTTTTATCGCAGAATTTCTGGTTCACTGTTTATATCTATCTTCTTGTAATACCTAATCTATGTATATCGATTTCGGCATGAAGCTCGTTAAATAAACATTCCAACACACATAGTTGTTGTAGAAAGCATTGGCCAAATAATTTTCTGAAATATTACAAAGTTGACAATACTTGGCCGGATAAAAATCGGCGACCGTTACATTTACGTAAAGCCGACTGTCGTGGGAACGATATTAGGACTGTCTCATCGGTCGTTGTGCACATTTCGGATCTAAGAGTATATTTTTTGCGTTGAATGAGGGGTGAACTTTTAATGGATGACTGGTCGATTTATTGATAATGAGCGAGAAGACAAAATTTTTCACACAATAAAAGGTTTTATCATTCAAATGGCAGTTATAAGTTAGGTGAAGAATATTCTGCGATTCCTTCAAATAACAATAGAATGATTTTCAATGTTCATATGAACCGCATGTGCTGTGTAAGTCGATAATTATATTGATTTACCTACATATACTAGTCTGAGGATTTTTCATTGTTATGAAGAAAAGTATCTAATCAATTTCAAGAAATGAGTTTAACTACTATTTTCTTTAACTTTGCTTAAAGAACCAGTGCTCTTGTGAAAAAAGCATATGAAGTCAGACGATTTCTAGTATTTTTCTTATATTGCTTTTAACCACACGCCCGCACGAAAGGTTTTATCATTCTCAATCTACATACTTTCATTAAAGTTGTCCGCTAAATCACTATATTGAATCCACTACTTACTTGAGCTACAAGTAGAGACTGTTGTTAGTGTGTAAAACTTCAACTGACACTGTAAACGCAGCTGCCTTTATTATTATATATGATTTATATCATGGTTAGTAATTTATTTAAAGTAATTTTAAATTTTGATTGACACTTGTGGTGTTGCAGAAATCGTATGCTAATTCTAAATTGACAGCAATGATCCATGGGCGTTGTAAAAGTGCTTAGAAATACCTCAGTATATTACTTATGCCAACTAAATAGGAAATTCAAGTAAACATGATTTACTTATAAATGATTGGTGTTATAATATTTAAATACTGATATTTGTAAAGTAATTTATTAACGTTTATTGCTATCGATTAATGTACTCAACTGCGAGCGCCCTAACTTGCAATTTTGGAAGAAAATTTATATAACATTTCTGCAATTTATATAACATTTTTTCACTTTTTATTTTCTTTATTGTCGAAAAAAATGTCACCTAATTTCGTTGACAACTTCTGACTTCCTACTTAAATACCACTCAGCCAATTTGGCACCTGAAACACGTAATCACCGGTCATATTATTGCCATTCATTCGTTACATTGTTATTTATTTCATTACTTTATTTAATTTTGTTTTTTTTTTTTTTTGCTTTTTTCGTTACACAATAATTTTAATTTCGTATTTTTCTTTGTTTCTCTTTTTTCATTTTCATTGCGCCAAAATGTGACTTTACCACAACTTTTGCGCACACTTATACAAAAATATGTGTGCTGATGACAACAGGGAAGAGATGCAACACCATACCTGGAAAGGAATCGTGTCGGACGAGATGCCATCGATTCAGCGGCTGCCTTAACCGATATGGGTAAATATTTATTCCGTGAGCGCCGTTTGCCCGTCTACGATATTGCTGTGGCGATAACCAAGTGAGTAAAGCACGTAAAAAAATTTACAATAAAAATATTAAAACAAAGATAAAATCAAAAGTATAAAAAAAAATTAAACTTCAAAAGTCAAAGCAGCGCAGCTGAGAAGGCAGGTGTGAACATTTAATTGGCGCACTTGCCGACAGCTGTCGTTTTAATACTGTAGAGATTTTTCTACACATTTTTACTATAATTATTTCAAATACTCTAAATTCTTTTTTTCATTAAAAAAAATGTCTGTTTCTTAACTCTTACAAACTTCTTTTGCTATTTTTCCTGCTGTTTAACTATTTTTCTACACTTTATTTCGTTTATCGTAAAAATTCAATATGCATATACTCAAATATATACATAATACAGGTATGATATGTGTCGAAGGCGTAAAGGCGGTCGATGCACCAAAGGCACTGCGGGTAAAAATCTGAAATCTTCCATTTTTTACAACTAGTTTCTTAAGTAGTTCGAAATCTTAATTTGTTTGGAAATTAACCTGAATTATACATTTGAAGCTTTTTTATGGGGTTTATCGTAAGAATAGCAATTGACGAGAGCGCACATATGTATATCGTTTTAACTATTAGCGGCAAACATTTACAGCACATAGTACATACTATACATTCAAAAAACAGAAAATAACAGTAAACACCACAACGAAATGTCAAAGTGTGTGAATACACATGCCACAACACCACTTAAGTGCACACATACACACACATTCAAGTTTTTATTTCAGCACATTCAAAATTACACAGATTTTACAAATATCGTAGATTGAACACATATCTTACCCTAACGATTTTATTGTTTTAATGTTTGATTGGCTTATATTCGTTTGTTTGACAGTGATAATTGCTTCTATTTAGTAAATGCTGAATTATAACGGTTTTAAGTGCCTTTAGAACAAGCTATAATCTAATATCGTAAATGTAAGTTGGAGGATTTCACAGAGGATTTGCTAATTTAAATATTAAACTACTTAATAGAGTAAATGGAGTTGGGTTTTAAAATAATATATAACGATTTTATTAAGTAAAAATATCGTTTTTGCATATTTTCATAACTAACATCGTTAGAAAAATATGCTTTTGGAAAGCAGTAAGATATTTATTACAATTGAAGTTGGGTTTAAATGCCTATGTTTTTCATCGTGTGGAAATATCGTAAACCAAAAATGCAATTTTAAAGGGCTATCCATAAATCAGAAAAATTCTACGTCCTTTTTTTCAAAATAAAAGTTATAGTACGGAAGTTTATATCGTAAATTTTAAATATCGTATTTTAAGTATTTCTAGGTTTTGCAGTTATTTTAATAATTTTAAATCAAAATGCAATAGGAAACGGTTAATTTATAAATTAAATAAATACTTGTACTTGACATTTTGATGCTTGATGAAGCATATATCGAAAATTATGAATAGCGTCTTTAAGAATTTTAGGCGAAGTACATTAAAATTTAAGCATTTTATGTTGAAAAACTACAGTGTAATAATAAATTAGATATATCGTAATCATATATCGTAAATGTTAGTTATGCAATTTACAAGCAATTGGTTGAAAATATATATAAACAAAAATGCAACATTGCAAGGGATTCATTAGTTTTATCGTGTAAACCCTACGCAATTATATTAAAATACATTGAAACTATATTGAAGAAAGTTCTTCAATTATCTTAAGAACATTCTACTTCTCCTCTTTACTGACTGAATTATTTAATCAACAAAACTTGCTAAATCTATCAAATCTCCTCTTTAATATAAACCGTTTTTTTATTTCGTAATTTAAAATCAGTAATTGTAATATTGTATTTAATAATTTATTTTTTCATTAACTTTAAAAACAACTCGTTCCGCAACACAGACTTGATATGTGCAGACGTGCAACAGCTCATGGCGAATGTAATCGTGGTACAGCAGGTAAATGTCAATTTGGCACAAAAAACGAAATGTACATAGAGAAAAAGAGAGTTTGAAGCGCAGTTAGAAGCAGAAGACTTTAGGATATAAAATAAAATATAAACACAAATTTCATTTAAACATTCGTCACATCAAATCATTCAATCTGTGTGTAATATTTCTCGTTGAATCGAATCTCAGGCACGTTTCTTCTTCAACTATTCTTTACTCTCGCCTTAAAACAGAGCACGTGATATTCTTTGAAAACTTTTTTTTGTAAAATAAAACAAAATTATATTTCTATTTACTAAACGTGTAAATATGTCGAAAGTGATTAAGCGCATTTCACACGCTTGCAGCGCTTCATGCCAACGATTCGCGCAGCTGATATCCACTTATTTTCTTTTTTAATTCTGCTATCTTATAAGTATAACTTTATGCTTTTAATGTTTTATTATATCTACAGTTATTATTATTTTTTTTTTAATATTATGTTTATATACTTTTCTCCAGACAAAAAAAATGTATTTACGATACATGGAAATTTAAGTAATTATTAGTATCTGTCATTCAAACCTTTAGATTTTTAGTCGCAAAGTATTTTTGTTTTGATTTGGAATCAAAAACTTTAATCTAAATCGTTTTGATTAGCAGGGGATATCGATCAACATAAGTTGATTGGATTAAATCACCAGGTAGGAAATTAGCTGCCAAAAATTTTTAATTCGATCTATTGTCAGGACCAGTTTTTACAAGACTTTTATAAGAAGAAGTTTTTCAAACTATCAGTATTTAAAAGTGGTAGTATAAATACTACTTTTACTATGGACAAAAGCTCAAAACAGCAGGAATGCACTAGCGAATCAAGGAAATTGTCTTAAAGGACCAACTTGAAATATAAAAATAAAACAATAAGAAAATATGAACGGGACTTTGTTGCAAAAAAATTGCAGCGTTTTAATAATTACTGTCATTGCACTGGCGGAAAATACGTTTACAGTTTACAGCGGTAAGGTTTGATATAAGCGATCAGTGAAATTGATAAACTGTATTTTTTTACTTTTTAAGACAAATAGATTAAAGAGAAAGAGAAGTGAATGAAAATATAATATAAGTCACATAAATGCGTATTTGTACTAAGATGGGTAAAATAAGAAATTTGTAATATAAGGACTTTCGAAGACAGTTCCATAAATCGAAGTTCATTCCTAAAATTCGCAACTAGTTCGTTAAATACGAAGTAAATTCGTAGAATTATTTTTGGTGTTGGTTACTTATATATTTAAATTTTACAAAATAATTATATTAAAAAAAGACTAACCCGTATCTTATTACTAAACTTTTTTTAAACTGCTGCTTTGGAAAAGCTGCAAGGTGAGGTTATGTTATTAAAGAATATGTACAAATAAAAAAAAACTTGTCCGACATTTTGCACTGATCTTATCACAAAAATCACAGCTTATTTTACAACGCATTTGCTTTTAGAAAAAAGTGTATTAATTGATTGCTGATCGCTGTTCATACTCATATTTTATGTCATAATTGCGTCACGCCTCAAATACATCAACTACCTTGTCACACATATAAGCACACACAAATGTTAGCACAGAAATTAAGATTGGGTTACTAGTTTTTTTTGCGAAAAATTGCAATAAATGCTAGCTGCTGGCATTAAGCAATTTTAGCAATTTTTTCACTTACTGGTTTACACATATTTCGTAGCGCAAAGTTATTTCTAATGAAAAACTGGTAATTTTTTAACTAATTTTTTATTACTTTTTAAGTCATGGTTTTGGTTAAATTTTTGAGTAAATTGTCAACTTCCTACTGCTTGCTTAGAAAACTATGCGCACACAAACATACATATTCTGGTACTAAATGCTAAATTTTTTTTTTATATTTTTGTTTTTTTGTCTTCAATCAATGTATTTGCAATGCAAAAATTGTGTTGTATTTGTTATAAAAACGCATACAAAAAGGTTTTGCATATGTTGGCGGTGCTTGCGTTGTGAACAAGCGTTTGGAAAAAGTCAACAGTGTTGCCATCATTGAGGATACTGGCGGTTTCAGCGGTATCATTGTGGCTGCCCATGAAGTTGGACACTTGTAAGTATCATGGACGGTTAATAGTTTAAAAAAATTTATAAAAAAAATAAAAATTATTCGTAATATTAAAAAAGATATTTATAATATACTTGAATATATATTATTGTCTTGTTCGTGTCAACTACAAAATTCTATTATTTAACTGTGTGTTTCGTAGATAATATAATAATAATTGAATTTTCTAAAATTTGTCACTTTTTATATGTTATTTATATATTAAAGATATTTTATTTTTATATCTTAAAGAAATTATGAAAAAACACACTCAATTTGTTATAAAAACAAGAAAAACTTTAACTTCGACTGCACCGAAGCTATAATACCACTCAGGGGTACATTCCTTACAGCATAAAAAGGGAAAAATGCAAGTTCGTATGGCAATTATATGCTACATTGTTCCGAACTTCGGGAATTGTAGCACCGCCGTCAATAATAATCTGGGCCAAATTTCTTGATAATACCTTGTGAAATAAAAAAGTTTTCCATACAAGAACTTGACTTTGTTCGGATAGTGTGTGTGACAGCTACTAAAGTATGGTCCGATATCGGCGATTCCGACAAATCAACAGCTTCTTTTTCTAAGAAAAGCACGTGTGCATGGATCAATTGACTTACAAACTTAATATAATTCAAAAAAGAGGATCAATACTTATTCTTTACACTCTTGTAAGCGTCCTTCATGAAGAAAGCACTGCTTAATTTGATCTAATGAGAAACTATTAAATCAGCTATTATCGATAACTCACAAGCTGAAAATGTATACATATCACAGTACAGAGTGTTTCGTAAAGTATAATTCTGTTTTAGACTTACATTGCGAATTTTTTCTTCAAGAAAAAGCAACTACAACGCAAACACGCTGAAAACACGAAAAAACACTTGACAACGTTTCTAGTCGATTGCCTAGCCCAACTATTAAAGCGATTTCCGCTGTCACCATTGACACATGCGCATTAACATGCAGACAAACTCGTTTGCATTTCCTTCGTCGGCCAATAGTGCAAGAAATAAATAACATGCTTGAATATGGTATTTTGCAAATGCAAAAGTTAAAAAAAAGAATACAAATTATAACTGTAAACTATACGCTTTTGCCCAGACATTATTGACGTTCTATTCCATACACACATAGGCTCGGCGCCGTGCACGACGGCTCACCACCACCCAGCTACCTTGGCGGTCCGGGTGCGCAGCGCTGCCGCTGGGAGGACGGCTATATAATGTCTGATTTGCGACACACCGAGCGCGGTTTCCGGTGGTCTCCATGCACCATACAGAGTTTCCATCACTTCTTGAAGTAAGTAGCGCCAACAGAAGCGAAAATGCAATTTTCTTTAACACTTTTTTGTGAATTTATTATTTATAGCGGCGACACCGCAACCTGCTTGCACAATGCACCCCACGAGGACAGCGCGCTGGGACGCGCATTGCCCGGTACACTGCTTTCGCTGGACGCGCAGTGTCGTCGCGATCGCGGCACGTACGCTTGCTTCAAGGATGAGCGCGTGTGTGCGCAACTGTTCTGTTTCGATGCGCAGACGGGCTACTGTGTGGCATATCGACCGGCCGCGGAGGGTTCCACATGTGGCAGCGGGCTGGTGAGTAACTGCAGTGATGAATGTTTTAGTAATAAAATTTTGCACGTGAATTACAAAAAAGAATTTATAAACAAATTTAATAACAAAAACACATTTATAAAAATTTCATTATTTCTCTACACTAGACCTGTCTGGACGGTCGGTGTACGCCAGTTACTTCAAATGTCATACCAGCTTACCGTTCTTACAAGTAAGTACTCGCTTTTTCAACTCGCCAAATCTTATTTAGATATTTCTAGTTAAAAAAAAGTTTTTTTAATAGTAAAAATATTTCAGAATATCAAGTTTTTTAGTAGTAAATTTTTATTGTTTAGTAGTTTATTATTTTTAATTTGGTTAAACAATTTGAATTTATAACGGTATTGGTCATTGTTACTACTATGGTGACTTTTACAGTTATACCTATTTGCAATAACTCGTTGGCTTTAAATAATAAAAACAATTTTTGGTGCAAAATTTAAATGCATAATTTTTTGTTGTACAAAAACAAATTTACTGCCTATAAATGATGAAAATTTTTATCGTAGAATATATTTTATGCAAAATGTACATATATACGTTTTAAAAACACTATATTTACACATTTTACCTATATATACACCTACACTAAACACGACTGATATTATTTTCGAATTTGTAAATTTTTGTATATATGTACATATCCAATGTAAATAGTTTGAAAATTAAGACAAAATAATCCAACCAAATTTTTACATACCCAAAACCACAACAACAATCGCAACCAACAACTGCTTAACAACAACACAAAAATTACAACTCTGTCACACCACAAAATCAACAAAAACAAAACCAACCAACCAAACAAAACAATCGATAACATTACAACACCGCTAACACAAAACTAAAATGAAAAAAATTGAACACTAAAACAACAACAATACAGTGACAACAACAGTAGCACTGAAAATACTGACACTAGTAGCGAAGAAGAAGGAGTTGGAGGGGAGAATGTAAGTAGTGAAGAAGAGCAGGATCAACCGGCCGCCGTGGATAAGACTGCACACACGACGCAGCAACGGTTCGGTAATACGGTGGAGCAGACCTCACGTGAAGTCGACGACACTTCCGATCCCAAACGTATTACAACAAAAACGATAACCACCAGCAATACGCATACACCGACACAGACGAACTCACGCACCACAATCACCGTGGAGACACACTCACGACACTCACACAACAAAAGCAACAACAATCAGCAACGGCAAGTGCAACAGGGTACTTTAGAACTTTTAGCCAGGTTTTTAGCACAGAATCCACAATGGCAACAGCTATTGGGACAAGCGGCGCAGGTGAACGCGCTGTCCGGCGCCGCCACAAATGCCGCCGATGTGGCAACCATAGAGAATGCCGCAAGCGCGGAAGTGGCGGACAAAGTGGCATCCGCTCATATGCCACAAACAAAGTTGCCACAGGGCGCAGTCGTTGTGCAAACGAGCGTGAGCAGCAGTACGAGCAGTAGTAGTGGCGGTAGTAGCGCGAATGGTAGTAGTTCAGGTATTAGTAGTAGTAGTGATAGTAGCGCGGAGCAGCAAAAAAAATATGAGAATGATGTTGCACGGGTTAAGGTCGTACCTTTGAATTTAGAGACCCATCCAGAGACGCTTGACAAGCAAATAGTTGTTGAGGATACTGGCGCGTTGCAAGTTGCTGAGAATATTGACAATAATGAAGGCGAAATACAGCCTATAGTGAGCTTAGAGAACGAAAAAAATGCCCAAGCGAAAGCTATGCTAACACAAAGCAAATTACAATCAGAAATCCAACCACAACCACACCAACACAAAACTACATTGGCAAAAGTAACACAAATTCAACAGCGCAAACCAACCACCACAACCACAACAACACCACCAACCGCACAACCTAACCTCTTCCAAATTTACACGCATGAATTACGCAAACAGTTACAATATTATTTAGGTTTTCTGCAAGCGCACACTGGCGACAGCGTCAGCGCTGGCGATAGTAGTAGTAGTATTTTGAGTAATAGCAAACGTACAGCAACAGTTAAGCATACCGTTACAACCAACAAAACTAATTCAAATTATAGCAATACGGTGAGTGCGGCCGCCAAATTACAGCAACAGTCGGCGTTGCTTGACAACAACAACCGCAACAATGAGGATGACATCGATGACAACGCGGACAATGTGGACGCGGATGATGAGGCGAGCAATGAGGCAATCGATGACAAACAACAGAAACGTAAGTTCAATACAGCAACAACAATAAGCGTGAGTGCACAACAACATACACAACGCGCACAACAAGCGCCGCCACCGTCAGCACCGACGCGCAGCAGCAGCAGCAGCAGCGGCAATGGCGGCAGTATAACTAACAGTAATAGCAATAATAACAGTAACAATAAAGCGCTGCAGCGGCCGGCGACTTTTCTTGACGCCTATTTAAAGAAATTGCAGGCGCTTAATGCGCCAACGGACACCACGGCCACACTGACGGCCACCACCACGAGCACCACAATGTCGACATCGAGTGTCGTGGGTAGTGGCGCCGTCAGCAAGGCAGTGCCAGCTGGCGGTACGCCCGAGAACGAACCGGCGAAGCGTGCGCCGGCGGAAACGTTCGGCAGTCATTTCCTCAAACGTACGCAAAATTTATCGAATAGTAAAAGTAGTAGTGTGGGAGGTAGTAGTGGTGTTGATGGTAGTGTTGGTAATAGTAGCGATAGCAACATTTACATTAATCATGGTAACAGCAACAGCAACAACAACAACAATATCAATTTAAATAGAAATCACAAAAAACTTACACGCATTTCGAGTCACAATGCTACTCCAAACAGTCGTACGCCATATGTTGATTCACACGAGCAAGAGCACGAACATGTTGTGAGCGATGTAGCAATTCACATTGCGACAACAACACAACAACCAGCATATGTGACAAATTTTTTAGGTGATAATACAAATAATTTGCCAAGTTTGTTTGAACAGCAACAGCAAGCACAACAGTCATCCTCAACAAAAACAACAACAACAATACCCGCACAACAACAAAATCAACAAACATCACAACAAAAAGCACATAAAGTCAGAACACAAAAACTAATACGTCGTCAATTGTTGCGTACGCAAATTAAATGAAGACATTACGTAAAGTTTGTGCGTAAGTGACGCCAGCGTTTTACATTTGTTCTGCTATAGCACCATATTTAGTTTGTAATTCTATTTATATATTTAGCATTTAAAACGCCAAAAGGATTACATTATTCTCCCACTTGATGCGTGCAATACCGTTGCATTCAGCTATAACGCACACACACTACTATACGCCACTACACACAGCGTTAGAAAAAACTAAAAGTTATCAACTTGTCATTCTGACAATCAGCTGTTCTTTTACATATTCCTTGTTAGATAGCAGAAAAAACTAATTTTTAGTACGCCAAACGCCACGCCAAAAGTACCAGTTATTCTGCTTGCTTAGCGCTATAGTCGCCCAAGCGATTTTCACTATAATCAACTACGCTCACAATAAACTCGAACACTGCGCACACGCTTCACTCTCTCAGAAGCATTGCAAATAACTACACTGTTACTGTCGACTTTTGTTGCCAATCTACAAAAATGTGGTAAGCAAACTTAATACACAAATTTAATATAATTTGGATACGGCATGCATTACCCTGGGAGAGTTTAGTAGTCATTAAAATTGAATATATAACCGTAGTGCGCTAATAGAATGCAACGGCATATTAAGCAAAGTTAACGGAATGCTTGGAGAATGCTTTATATAAACATGTGAAAAAAAGCACAACTAACCGTTATTATTTACGGCCTGGTAATGAATACAATATTAAAAGCATTACGCATGGATTTAGGTACTTAAAATTATTTAATTGCTGCATGAAATTAATACTTAGGCGGCTATAAGGTGTAGAGCAAATTTACCGCGGTGCAACATTTTGGCGCACATTTCTCGGATAAGCGAAAATTAAGTGGCAATATAACCTCATCTGCACATTAATTTTATATACTTATAACGTTTTTGCGTGCGCAAAATTATCTCTACTCCCTTGTAAGTGGATATTTAATTCTGCCTGCGCTATCATTGAACAATTCGTGCTAATTTACTAAAGTCGGAGCGCATAGGCCACCATTTGCTTGGTATATGGTAGAGCAGTATACATACGCTACGTTTTAACATATTTTTAAAGTTGATTGCGTAATAAACTGAACTTGCATCCTTCAATTATGCCATCGTTAACAAAGAACATATTTTAAAAATGCAAAATATTGTAAACTTGCTTATGTTGGTCACATGTGTTTTACAAGCCATGCATTGAAACACAGTCATAGTTAAAATATGGTATATTGCATAATGCACTCATTTACACACACAAGGAATGCAAAATGTGATCGAATCACTTGTGAAAAAAATTGCATGCATTCACTATATACAGTTTCATTGAGTTGTTACTATTAATTCTTCATCTTCTTAACTTTTTTTGGTGCTATTCATACTCCTTATCCTCACGCACATTTGCTCGTTAATTTTACTTCATTCGATTTTATGGCATTCATATTAGCTTTCCCAAATAATGCAACAACAACTAATTAGTTGTAATCATACTATTTGCACTTGTTTTCACTATATATCACTTCAATAGCAGATCCACCACTGCCGATGGCAAGTTCCTTTAACTAAAATGCCGCAAGCACTCTTAGACTAATTTCAATTATAAAAAAAAATTAAAAACATTTTATCAGAAGAAATTTGCAATTACAATTACGCGGGACTTCCTTATTACAAACGATTTGGCGCACTTCATTTCAACTTTTATTCTCTACACCATTCTTCTTCTATGCTCACCTAATCAACCGGTATAAAGTACAGGGTCACACACATGAAACAAAGTAAAAAAAAAAATATTTGAATCTTGTACTCACATTCGCATTCACACAAACAATGGAACTCATAAAAACAACAACAGCACTCTCCACTATTTTCACCAACATCAACAACTAATCATATGCGACACAACAACACTTCATATATTGCATTACTAAAACAAGACAAATTAAAATATCTATATGGTACAACAAGCATTAAAGCACATCAGTAGAACATCTAAAAATTATAAAAGCCCATAAATTTTCAAAAACGCATAAACTTATGAGAAACCACATAAATTTTAAGGCATTTATTACGCATATTAAAAATGCAAAAATTCAATTCAAAATTTGGATATGGATTATTAGACAAAACTTATGCAAAGTTACATCAACAGCCGCGGGTGTTTGCAAATTTAGCATGTAGTACTTATAAATTTAATTTAGTTTAACTGGATCCATTGGATAAACACCTATATAAACGCATACCGTAATACAGCTGGAGCGTGGAAAATGGTTATAAATTACAACGTTAAGGAGAAGTATAAAATAAACACTCACAACCCCATACTATTATGGATATTTGAAATGCATCGAAACAAATTCAAACTTTCGCATATAATAATATAAAATATATAAGAATACTCGAAATTAAAACTCGTCAACTAAAAAAATACACATACAAACATTTTAATTTACACTTGAAATGTAAATTAAAGTAAAAACTAAAATCAGCATCATCTTGATCTACGAAATTTTGCATGACAGTGGCGGCAAATACACATCACTCATCACAAATTCTAAAAATTTAATAAATATATATATTTTAGATAAAATAATTAACAAATTACAACAAAAATAAACAATTCTGGCTTCATTAGTAACAACATACTTGCATTTTTTTATATGCATACCGATTAATTCATATTTATTTGTTACAATTTCTTTATTTGTTTTATTATTTGTTTTTATTTTGTATATTTTTTTTCGTACATATATTTATTATTTGCGTAATTATTTTAAATACATTACACATTTTACATTTACTGACAATTTTCGATTTCTTTTCATTCATACCCCACTAAATTTTGTACGTTTACTAATTGTCACCGTTTCCTTTTTTATGTGCGCTATGCAGTGGTTAACTGGAAGGCGTTTCCATTTTGAAAAGAGTAGTTCCGTTGCTGACTGAGTGATGGCGCCGCCATACGTTTTTCTTGTAAACTACGTTTTTCTTGATTTGATCTAAATCTGATTATCGGAAGTATATAATGCATCAACAAGTGTGGCAGCAATTGGCAGTGATAGCAGCGGTAACATGAACGAGCATCTCAACACAACTACAACAATTAACAGCCGTATATTATGTCGATATAAACTCATATTTAGCAAATGATTTACGTACTAGTATATTTAAATTAGACAGCATACAGAAGACATATCATTGCCATTTTCAAATTTTCCAATTAAATATTTACATACACATTTACATTTTAAAAGCAAATAGTTGAAATTAATGCATGAATTTAGTTGAAGCAGTTAAAGCTGAATATTAATGAAGAAAAACGCATGAAATCATACAGCGCCACACATACATACATAAGCAATGCATAAATACATTAACGTTTTTATTTAAACCAGCACATATCCATATGCTACCCAAAATATGTACTTAAGTATGTACTCGTAATTATGTACAACGTACACGTATGTATCGTAAAAATACGTACATAAAGCATCGATCACGCATAACCACACTTAAGTGAATCCATATTTAAATATTACATACGTACTTTAAAAAGAATCATAGTTAGAATTTATTGATTTGTTTTAGGTTTTAATTATTAAAACATATATGTATATGTAAATTAAAGAATAATTATATTTAATTTAATTGTATTTTTTAAATAAATTTTATGTTTTTTTGTTTATTTGTTAAAAGCTGTAAATGCATTTGTGCACTAGAATGAATAAATGTAGATACATATATATTGAAAAAAGAAATTATTTTAAATTATATACATTTATGAATAAATGGTTTTGCGCGAATTTTAATAACTCATATTTCGAAAAATTTATTATATTATATTAATTTCAAACAGAGGAAGGAAATACACACATTGCATGTTTGCATTCAAAAAAAAAATAATAATTGAATTTCATTAGTAGCTACAGCCTATAAATACACACATAAATACAATTCATTGACATATTGTGTAAATGTAAAGTTTTATTGTATTGTAGACATATGATAAAGAAATACACTAAGTGGATATTTTAAGTCTAATTAACTGTGTATGAATATGTCATTGACATTTTAGGTAAAAAGGCGAAGAAAGGATATATATGTTTCATACATATATATAGCTAAATATATTAATTAAAACATACAATTATAGTTAAATGCGAAAGATTGTGAAAACCATTAATTTAAAGTTTGTAAAAATTTAAAAATTGTTGAAAATAAAACTTGCTTATTGATACATATGTATATTATTTGTGTAAATTAACTTATTTTCATTATTGTGTATGAGGAAATATTTGACAATTCCCACAACAGCCGGTTCTTCGTTACCGGAATTGACCCGGATTTTATCCGGCTAAGGGCTGTTATTTCAACGACCTAACCCTGTTTGGATCGGTAAGTGTTAGTTTAAGTTTGTCGTCATTAGAGCAACACCTAGCAGCAGGGTCGCTCCGTATCCTCTTGACCCGTGCTGGCATCGAGTCCAACCAGAGCCCCGAGGAATTCTTTTGCTGCTAATGTGCTAAAAGACTCCATCCAAACTCCACCTCGGTTAGGTGCAGTACATGCAATGGATGGAGCCATCTTAAGTTCTGCTCAGGCCTTAAGACACATAGGGAGTGGACCACAAGTTACGTGGCCGCGTGCTGCCAACGCAGTACTGCGACACCAGCCTTAACGGCTGTGAAATCTGCACCATGTTCGCGCACTGCGCCGCCACTCTAGTCGAGTGGCCAAGAAAGGACCTCTACGGGCCTAAGGAGCTCTAGGCAGCATGACTCCCAGTCAGCCCGTGAGGGGCGGCAAATTTTTCAGAATGTCAAAATTTTAAACCTGATATTATATAATGTAATGACAATACATTTCAAGTATTTATTCTGATTTTTTTTATATAAATTTACGGATAAATTTCTATGAAATAAAATGTAATTCATTTTCTGATTAACTTTTTTATTCGTGAGTGCAATACTGATAAATAATATTTTATAATAGAAATAATTGAATATTGATAAGCTTTTTTTGAAGAATTTTCAAAGCTGTGTTGAATTTTTGTATCTTAAGTAAAGTGAATCTTTTATGTAAAACGCTGTAAAAATTTTACAATTTTTCTAATTTTCTTTTCGATAATTCCAGTGTTCATGGAGAATTAACATATATAAATTGATATTGAGTATTTATATAAAATTCATCTTTTTGTTTGTATATAAAAATATATTTTTCTTCAAAATGTTTCCTATAGAATAAAATAAAGAATTTAAAGACAATAAAATTGATGTTTTTTCGCAATATTGTTGAATTATATTGCTGCGAGCAACCAAATTCCAGGCGTAAAAAGAGAGGAAAAGGAGAACAAATAATAGATTTCATCAAACAACATCTACAGCACCAATACAACATATCTTGGATCAATATGGCTGTCTTCACTTTTTAAATTCTGGGATACAAATAGTATTTTAATTAAAAATTGTATTTAAATAATAAATAATTGTATTAATAATTTATTATTTCAAGAAATATTTTTTTATCTTAAGTCAATTGAACCACAAAATTTAATTTTTAATGCTCCTATTAATAAATTATTTAAAATTTTAATTTTCTAATAATGAAGTTGAAATAAAATTATTTTTAAAAAATTTATAACAGTCAATGTTATTAATATTTATTTGTATTGTTTAACAATTATATTTTTATGAAATAAATATTTTGTCTAAATAATATGAATGGACTCAAAGAAATAAAATTTCTTACTTTGAAAAGGGCGGCTTTCATATTCAGTCATTCCATCGCCTTTTTGATATTTGGTATTTTAATCGTGATTTTCCTACTGTCCACTCTTCCCAAGAAGTCGTCAATATCAATTTGATAACTTAAATCTTCGTTATAAGTATAAGAATTGTAAAAGGCTGAAGCAGCTGTAGCTAGAAATAATGCGCCATCATTAACATCGTTCGTCAAAGTATAACGTGTACCCATTATGCCGGCCAACAAAAGTTCTGTAGACAATTGAAACAAAGGACGCGGGGGATCTTTTGAATTTAAATATGCACCATAACCTAAAACACCACCAACAACAAAACTTGCTCCTAATTGAATGAACGAGTCTGAAACAAAGGAAAATTTGTTTATAATTAAAAATAAACAATTTAATTTTTTAATTACCATTGTCCATAGCTTTCACAACGCCCAACGCGGTGTATGTGCCCGCCAACAGAAAGCCCATTACATCAAATGTCATTTCTACTTGTATTACATTGCCGTTTTCACAACAAAAGTAAGAATTGTCATTTCGATTATTTTATAAAAAATTTTAATAACCCAAATATTGATTGCATAATAATCTGAGTTCTGGTTTCGGCCCTGTTATGTTTTATTAATAAACAGGGCAACACATATTCTTGTGCATGAAAAGGTGTATTTTTATTTATATGAGTCTAATTTTTAATAATATAAATACAAAATATAACAAGAAAAAGACGAAAATATTTATAATTATTGTAAAGTTATAATAACAAATTTCAACTTTTGAAGTACAAACTCCTAATCTTGCAAAATATTATACTCTGCTTTTTTGTAAAAAAGGGCAAGTTTTTCTGCCAGCAATTAACTGCAAACAATCATTTACATACATATGTATGTGCATATATGTACATATAGATTTACTGTTGTCTTCCCGGTAATGGCAAGTAACGATTGTAAGTGATTAAATTTCGAAGCATGGCGGCAACAGATATAATGCAAATCATGCCAGCAGGCATCATTTTACCAGATCGTTGCCAACGTGCGCCCATGATACCGGCCAAAGCCACAGAAGTGCCCAACTGCAAGAGTGGACGTGGCGGATCCTGTGAATTCAAGTGTGCACCCACACCGAGAATGGCACCGAATGCCAATCCAGCACCCAACGACGGTATGGAACCTAAAATCGAAATAAACCTTAATGTGTATTATTTGCACTAATATAAAAAATTAAAATGATGCTATGGAAATGAGTTGCACAATCTCAACACACGTTCATTAGCTTACCGGCTTTAACATAGCCTACAATACCGCCAGCAGCAACAGTGGCGGCATATAAAAATCCGAGTAAATCTGTTGACATTTTTATCAAATTAATATTTTGGTAATATATAAATTTCAATAATATATGATAAAATATGCAATAGTAAAAGCACAATAGTTAATCCCCAGTGTTTGTAATCAATTGTAGAGTTTTTAGTAGTGAACAAAAACAAAGCAATCAAGTGGCAAGTTGAGGGATTTTTCACTGAGGAATTTCAGATGTTGAGAATGAAGCATATCATATATGATATACGTTCTCTGGTAATACATACACTGATTTTAAACTGATACGTATATGTCTAAAAAATGCTGTTTAGTAATTTCATAATTTTTAGGTATTACGTTTAAAAATATTTCAATATTTTGAAATTCTTTAATATGTCCAACAACAATTTGTACTTAATTTCAAAATTTGAACTGAACTTTTTTTTAACAGGTGGCAGCGTTTTGTTCCATATGTCAGTTCGTTTCAGTCATTTCGATGCATTGATGGACCTCCGCCATTTATAATTTTCAGTGAAAGACTTCATGTGGTGTTGGAAAAAGTTTTGCTAATTTATCAAAAAGTACCAAGAAAATTCAGTATATATTCAACAATTTTAATAGAAAAAGGTTTAATATAACCCTTATTGAGTGTTAAAGTGTTATTTCACTTGTATAAATTCGTGCATCGTATAAAACTACGTATCAATAGTACGCAAATTATTTTCTAAAGCGGTGTGAAAAAATTTTCATAAAAGAAAAATGAGTGAATTTGCTGCATCACAATCTAATCTTAATCAGTCGCAAGCATTTGCAGCCGCACTACAGCGTGCTAAGCAGGTAAATTTTATACAAATACTATTTTTAAGAAATCAGATTCTATTCCGTAAATTGCCACACACACGCACACACATGTATATTTAGATCGCCGCTAAGATACAGCCAAATACCGCACAACCAAGTGGTGGAGGTTCTTCTAGCGCTGGTATATCACCTCCATCCGGCATTGGTTTTAAGCGTAACCACGATGACAGTGATTCCGGTCCGGAAGCCAAACGTTTCACTAGTCCTGGCAACGATTACAATAATTCCAACGGTAGCAGCGTGGGCGGCGGCGGTAGTAATGCTGGATCGACGAATATTTCTCAAGCACTCGCACAAGCCACCGCTGTTGCTCAGCGTTTAGCCGCTACAGCTGGCACAACAGTGGAGGAGCAAATACGCATTCCAGAATCGCTGGTAAACTCGGTACTGGGACGTGGCAGCACTGAGACAATTACTCAAATTCAGGGTGAATCTGGTTGCAAAGTGCAGCTTTCACAGGATCAAGGTATATGAAGTTATACTAGAAACCGGAAAGTATAAATATATAAAATTTTTTTATATTAAATATAGATCGCGTGATTACTTTACGTGGATCTCGAGAGACTGTTACTAAAGGACGCGAATTATTCCAACAATTGTCTAATCGTAATGGCGGTGGAAATATCGAAGTCGTGTTGACCATAAATATGCCTCCACCAGGGCCTACAGGGTTCCCACCGTACCAAGAAATTATGATACCTGGCACCAAAGTGGGTTTGGTAATTGGCAAAGGTGGTGATACCATAAAACAACTGCAAGAAAAGACGGGTGCGAAAATGGTTATAATACAAGATGGACCAAATCAAGAAATAATTGTAAATATATATTCAATTTAATTTTTTTTTTGTTTTTGAGTTTTACTTAAGATTAAATAATTTTAGAAACCACTTCGTATCTCTGGAGATCCGCAAAAAATCGAACATGCCAAGCAAGCTGTATTAGACTTGATAGCACAGAAAGATTTACAAGCAGCTGCGCTTGCAGCACGTAATAATGGCGGGAGTGTGCAAGGCGCTGGCGTTGGTGGAAGCGGTGGCTATAATTTTGGCAACACTGGCGAACAGTGCGAAGTATTTGTGCCGAAAATAGCTGTCGGTGTGGTTATTGGTAAAGGTGGTGACATGATACGAAAAATACAGACCGAATGCGGTTGTAAGCTGCAATTCATACAAGGCAAGAATGATGAACCTGGCGACAGACGATGCCTTATACAAGGCACACGGCAACAAGTTGATGACGCCAAACGTATGATTGACGGACTTATTGAGAATATGATGGTGAGTAGAATACTTAAGAAGTTTTTTATTTTAATTTTATAGTATATTATATAAACAATTTTAAATTTTATAAAAAATGATGTTACAATTTACAATAATTTTTGTTGTAAACTTCTTAATATATTGTACGTGTATGTTTTCAGCAACGACAACAACGCAACGCTAATAGCAGTAGCAATGGCAGCATGGATGGAAACAATTCCAATTACGGTTACGGTTATGGCGTAAATCACGCACAACAGCCGCCACGCGAAGAAATAACATTTATGGTACCTTCATCAAAATGTGGTGTAAGTAATATAATTTTATATTTGGACCTTGATATATTTATATACTTACGGTTAAATATTTTTTTTTAAAGATTGTTATTGGTCGCGGCGGTGAAACCATCAAGCTTATAAATCAGCAATCAGGGGCATATTGTGAAATGGATCGAAATGCTGTCAATCCACCCTCTGAGAAGCTCTTTAAATGCAAAGGCACCTCGGAACAAGTAGAAGCTGCACGTCAAATGATTGCCGAAAAGATTAATATGGAGTTGCCAATTATTTCGCGTAAACCCATTAGTGGTAACATTCCTGGACAACATAACAACCAAGGTGGTTATGGACAGAACCCCATGCAAAATGACCCCAACGCTGCTGCTGCCGCTTATCAACAGCAGTGGGGCGGTTATGCCCAAGGTTGGGGTGATCAAAGTCAGCAACAACAAATGATGATGGGTGGCGCAGCTATGGGACAGAATACCGGAGCAGCTGCTGGTGGGCAAGCTGATTACTCCGCACAATGGATCGAATATTACAAGTAAGTTATAATGCCAAAAATTTGGAATATCTGCTTGTTAAATTAATTGCATATATATGAACATATTTATAGATCAATGGGCTTAATGCGAGAAGCTGAAATGATCGAACAGCAGCTAAAAGCTAAACAAGCGGGTGAGTACATATATGCTAGAAAATCTAAAGCTAAGCTCATTTCAAAGTATAACTGTTATTTTAAGGTGCGAATGCGGGTCAACCAATGGGTGCTGTTGGTATGCCACAACAACAGCAAGCACAACAGCAACCTCAACAACAGTCACAGCAACAACAAGCACAACAAGGTGGCGGTACAGCAGATTACAGCGCGCAATGGGCTGAGTATTATCGCAGTGTAGGCAAGATTGCCGAAGCCGAAGCAATCGAAAAGCAAATGAAGGTTTGTTGTATACGAAGATTTTTATTTGAAAGAAAAATATTTATATTAAATGTTTTATGTACAATTTCCATACAGCAAGGACAGAATGGTCAAGCGAATGCATCAGGCGGCGCTGTTAACAGTAATAATGCAGCAGGTGTTAATAGCAATGCTGGTGGTAGTAGCAACGCGGGCGCCGGTAATAACCCCGCTGATGGCAGCAACAATGCAGCGATGCAAGGTATGACACCTAGTCAATATGCGCAGTATTCACAATACTATGCAGCCGCGCAAGCGAGTCAGGCGGCAGGCGGTGCTGCACCCGGCTATCCACAAGCGGCTTATGGGGGCTATGGCGCACCGGGAGGTGGATATCCAGGCGCGCCACAACCCAACATGCAGCCCAGTAATATGGGTGGCGGACCAAATGCCGCCAACCAGAATAAACAAAAAGGCGACCAGAAGTAAAGGATGTACTATATATTATGTATGTATGAGAGTAACGGCGTGGTGGAAGCAGCAGCAATGTAGACGTAGCAGAAGCTTGTGTAACGCGAAAAAATGTTTAATGATGTTAAAGCTGTTGAATGGGGTGAGTTGTTTTTGTCAATATGTTAATGAATTTTCATATGTATATTAAATTTAAAGTGCTTTTTAAAAAATTGCTAATATTTGCTACATTTAAAACTGCCATTTTCACTATATTATTATACAAATTCATTGTTTATCACATTTAAAACTTTCCAAACATAATTATGCCCTATATTTATATATATACGTATATATATATATTTATATATAAATCGATTAATTCCTTTACACTTTACTATTTGGTAGATTGCGCCTTATTACAATTGACAACCAATTTACAATTTTTATATAAACTTTTAATTTCACATTCTCACCATTTACTATATAACTTACTATTTTATTTGTTTGTTTCTATACATATATATCAATTCTATTATTATTTTACGTGCCTATGTAACGAAATATATACCAACATAAAACATTTTTTGCAGAGGTCACAAATGTCTCAATTACTACTACTTCTACTACTACTACTACTACTACTCCTTACCACTCACAGCAAAAAATTAAAATAATAAAAAAAAATAGAAAACAAAAAGAGTCTGTGAAAATGTGTTGGCGTGTGCGAGATGGTTTAAATATAATATATTTTAAATATATGCATATATATGTATTTTTAGTTTGTAAGCATAATTTATAGAAACATCAACAGCACTATTACAAATGAAAAATGAGATATAAAGCAAAGGCGCGACTCTACACCATGCTAAATCCACATCAAACAAAATTTGAGTGCATAATACACATTAAAACATCGTAAATACTGCAAACTTTGACATAAAAAGGATATGCAACGCTAACCGAAGGCATTCATCGAATGTTTTCTACAAAAACAAAAAATGAATAATCTAAAAAAATTTCGTGCCGAAGATGAAAATTATAAAAATGCATTAGTAGTTTCGTTCCGTCAAATAAAACAAAAGGAGTAAAAATTATATGAACACACTCTTAGCTAATGAAATATTTGCAATGTAAGGCTTTAGTGAACAATTAACGCTCGTAAATTTTCCACAAAACTAAAAAAAAGAACTATTGAACTATATAATTAATGCTTGACATAACAGTAAAAAGTAGATATAATTATACTAAGACGTGCATACAAAAACAAATTTCCGCATTAACGGTCTAATCTTTTATAATAACAGCGAAATCAAATAGAAAAGTAAAGTTATATTCCAATATTCTTCCAAATGCACCATCATAACAACAACAACAACGAAATGTGCGTAATCCGTATATATTGGAATGGTTCACATGACAGTAAACAAGAAGCTGGAAGTTGTCTAAAATATGAAAACACACGCACCTGTACAAACATGCAAATGTCAGCCAATCATAGCAAAAGCAACAAGAACGCCTTGCTCACCGCCAATACTGCACTCGACTATTTATGAGTGGACGCCACTTTGCAGCGCGTTAAATAGTTCATTCCCGTTAATATTTAAATAGAAACGAAAACGAAACAAAAAATGTTGCGTCTGTACAAAAAAAAAGTGAACTGCATGTGGTAAGCTTTGGAATTATAATATTTCTAATAAGTGCTGATAAAAAAAACCAAACAACAATGCATATAAGATATATACAGATAAAATTTCCCATAGTGAATATATGCATAAAATAAAAACAAAAAATGCAACTTACATACATATATAATATAAAAAACATGTTTTTAAAAATTTCTTATTATTGATTGCCTAAACAAATACGTCATTTAACATTTTGCGAATGAAATATGTCTATGTTAATTTACTATCTACATACCTATATGTATATTTAAAACATGCAAATTACCATGTATGTACAATATATTATAAGAAATTCAATTATAATGCCAATATAATAATTACATATATATTCACTTGTGCATATATACGTATATATTAAACAATCTCTTGATATATTTCAATTAATTAACATTGAAAATCATATTGTAGCGGGTTTATTTACTAGTACAAGTATGTAAGTGCCAGAAGCGAAATGAAGGATAACCAAAATGGCAGAAAAACAAAACGCAAAGTAGAAAACAAAATGGAGCAGCAGCAACAACTCATTGTTGAAAATTTGATTTAACAAATTTGGTCGAAATGCAGACAGACTCTCAGCTTCACGAAGAAATTATTCATTCATTTTCTTAAATTTGTATAACTTTTTAGTTCTTATTTAATTTTTTTTCAATCTGATCCATATTATGTACATATGTGTGTTTAGAGTATAAATCTTGATTTTATATTTACATATTTTGCCACAAATGCATATTTACAAATGTTGATTTCCCAATATTATTATTTTCTTTCTAATTTCATAATAAGTATTTATACTATATACATATATGTATTTTTTTAAAGCAACACTGTGGGAAAGTCTTACTGTTTGCATATTCATCAGAACCTTTTAGTCGCGGCAGTTGGTGCATATTTTTTGATTTTGTGTATGGAACCTCAAATTGCGAAAAATTTATTTACAAATATGAAATAATGACATGTATTCTAATAATATAGCGTGGATTAATAGGACCTTAATTTTCAAACGTTGTTTAAGAAAAAACATTTTATAAGTGAACAAATTAGTAACTTTTAGCGTTGCTGCAACATGAAACAGGTATTTTGGCTACCAATTTGTCTATTAGTGCTGGATGTTACTGCGCCACTTATATCAGTGTAAACAGACTTTTATTCCAGCTGCTATATAAAACTGCTATAAACAAAATTTAATGTTACAATGTAGGCTTTTACTCGACGCTTACTTCTCAACTAGTGTATTGATATAAGTGCATCAACATATTAAGCAAATTTCTAATATTAAGGGTTTCTCTTAACATTTAACCAACTATTTTAAGACGCTTGAATGCATATAGTGTATCTTCCTATGTTTAATAGTTGTGTAAAGCAACATGGAAGAAGTATCAGCCAGTTCAAACGTAAAAGAGCTTAAAAGAATTGGGACGGTTATATTAACCACAACTCACACGAGCAGTTGCACGATTATATCAACCGGGTTTAAACTCAAATTTATATAATTTAATAATTGCTTATATTATATATATGCATATATACATATAATATGTTTTCAATATACCTTCCAGCGACCATTCAATAAAATATGTCATATTTTTCGTGTTACCAACCATTTTTATGCAATATTTTTTCTATGAGAAAGTTAGCTATAATATTTTCTTTATATCTTTTTTTATATGTACATAAATGACCAACCAACTATGGTTTACTCCCATGTCCTCCGGTACGTTGATTGCACACACGCGTCTTCAAGTCGTTCGATTGGTGATCGAGCGGTCGCACAAACGTCGTTAATGCGAAACTATATGAGCAAACAGACAAAAAAAAAAATATATATATATATATACATATACATACATATGTGAGGCAAAGTGCGCAAAGTTAATTACTTGAAAACAGAAAGAAAGAAACACGGTTTATGCATACCTTTTCTTGGTAAGATTCATTACATTGCTTAACTGTTTTGATACAAACAAATATAATCTATATGAATATATTAAATTTATTCATTTTTTCATATACCAAGTATATATAAAATATTTTTGAACAAAAAATTGACAACACAATCTATTTACCTTTACATACATGCATATAAACATTTATATGTGTATGAAAATAATGTTTCGCTATATTATACTGAACTGCATTGTTTATAAAAAACTTTTACGCGCATTATATATATGTGTGTGTTTGTGTGTGCGCCCAAGAACTATTTACCTAACTTAAATACGTACATTACATATTATGTTTTAATTACTATCTACTATATTGGTTGATGTTATATTGCATAAACATAAATAAATCTATTTCCAGTTCTACAGTTTCTTAAAAGAGCTAAGAGTCTACAGCAAACAATAACTTCTAGTAAACAAGTAGCACTTACCTTCACCCAACTGCCAAAATACCAAATTTCCTACCACTACTACTACTACCACAAACGTACGTACAATACAAAATAGCAGTAAATCACTTTCCAAACTATGGTAAGCTGCTCTACATGCAAAATCTCTTTGAAATTATTATCACGTATGTACATATATTGCAATTTGAACAGAAAAAAAAAATTATATACCTATTTAAAATGCTGATTTCACTATATAAAATAATTGATATAACATTTTTTAAACGAAAAAATCATATTTTATAATTTTTTAAGTGTCCCTTATTGTTTTTATATACCTCCATTTAGTTATTGCTCATTTTCTATATTATTATTGTTTATAAGCCTGGGTACAACAGAAATTAGATGCAAAACAAATATATAAAATAACAAAAAGATGCGTGAGAGTCCAATTAGAATGTTGCAACATTTTAAAACGACCGTAAAATATAAAAAAAATTGTTCATAAACTTTTTAAATAATGGCAAAGAAAAATACGTATATTTAAACATTTTACTGTTTATATAACACAAGCACGGAGCAAAATATTTGTTTCGCTTAGTTAATCACAAAACAACAACAATATATAAAAAATATCTAATCTTAAGCATTATATGAAATGGCAAAAACAATATCACACACATTTAGTGCGGTGTTATAAATCAAACAACAACAAATGCAATTGTTTTTGTCAGCGAAAAAAAGTATAATAATAAAAAAATATATAAACACAGTTTAAAGGACATGCAAGCGTGTTCACAACAGTTTGAAAAAATAAAATAAATAAATAACCTTTAATAAAGAATTGTTTTAACACTGAAAACAACTTATTTATATATATATATATATGTGAATATAAAAAAATGTATATACAAGTTTATATAATTTTCAAAAATGAAAATTATATGAAATACTTATATACATAAAGCGTATCTATATGTATATGTATGTGTATTATTTAGTTTTTTCTAACATACTTTCAGCTGGTGTTCGCATAGGCAGCAAAGAACACAGCCAGCCGACAGACACTTGTTGAGCAGTAGGAATCTTGGCATATATGTACTATGGAGTGATGCTTCTTTGCAGGAACGCACACATAAAGTGGAGTTCAATAGCGGAGTTTAATAGCTACTTACGATGTAGTACAGTTGTGTAGATATGTAGGCATCGTTGTGCTCTATGCAATTGTTGGTTATGTACTTGTATGTATGTATGTTTTGGAGTTTGCGCATGCGCCCGTAAGCGCGTGTTTGATTGTGTTTAACTATGTGTGCGTGATTGGAACGGTGGCTCCTTTTTGGTCCAACATCTTGGATTTGTTTTTATATTACATACACATGTATATGCATGTTCTCAACGATTTATTATGTTTATCACTATATTGACTATGTATAATTGCAATTGCGTACATATCTTACATACAAACATGATTTTACTATAACTATTTGACTGTTTATGCATATAATTTCTTTATAATATAAACATTTTTAATGCAAAATTCATTAGTTATACATATGTATATTTATATATGTCAGCATAAATATTTCTCCTAGTGTTTTGCTGCTGTCGCTGCTTCTGCCATCATGATGCGCAACATTCTACTACCTTACATGCATTCTTATCTCTCTTCCCTGCCTCATTCATTGCTGTTTGGGATGCGTCAGTCGGCATTTAGACGAATAGGCTGGTGTTGACAGCAATACTGTGGATGTAGGCGAGCGCAAATGCACGTAATTCCTTTTTTCGATTACATTTCACGTTCTTTTTTTTACATACTTAAATTATATTTTTTTATGTTTTATGTGCATTGCTTTGTATATGATACAGTTACTGACAATAAAATATAATCAAAAAGGTGGTTCCGAAATAATTAACAATCTATAGTATTTGTTCGATAAATTTCGGATTCGTTTTTGTCTGTAATGTTCCTACAATATTTATCTTTTAACACCATGATTGTAGCTCTATTAAATATTACTGTTATCTTTGCGTTCAAATTAAACAAAAGTGTGCATTTGTTGTCGTGACAAACAAAAACAAAATCAAGGAATAAAAATACCAATATCTAGGATATTTGTTAGAACTTGACATTTTTTTACAATTACGTATTATTTGTAGAAGAAATGGGCCGGGGAAAGCATTGCATAGCGGCTGAGCTTAAGCTTATAAAAAGTTTGCAAAATAACGGTAAATTTCAAAAATTATATTTGTGTTTACCGCTTTGAAACCTTCTCCGTCCACGAATTGAGGGGACGACCACAAAAAACGACGTCTCAGGATGACAATTACATAGAGATTTTATCAAAGCACGATCATTTCAAGTCCTCTGTAGTTATCCAAAGAGTATTGGGTGTAGAAAAGAATCTCTTCGGAAGGTTGTCCCGAAAAGTTCCAATGTTGACAAAAAGATAGCGGAACAATTGGGTTGCTTTTGCTTCAGCGCATATCAATTGGACCGGTGAAGAAAATGTGGCGTAAGATCCATTGGTCAGACGAATCCAAAATAAATATGCTAGGTAGCGATGGAAAACTTTGGGTTCCCCGATACACGACAAAAACTTTCAAACGCGGAGTTCATGATATGGGAATGTTCTTCGTGGTGCGGAGCCAGACCGCTGTTGTGGATTTGGAAAATCAAATAATGTTATCACTGCCTTAGAATTTTAGAAGATGTAATGCTCTCTTAATTTGGCAGTTTCAGCATGAAAATGACCCGAAGCTACCATGGGCGTGGTCAAGACTTGGCTACAGGATCAAGGAATCGATGTTATGTCTTTGTCGGCACAATCTCCGGATTTAAATTCTATAGAAAACCTGTGGAAGATTGTAAAGGAAAATTTGGAACCCATTAAACCACGAAATAAGGAGGAAATATGGGAAAAAGTCCAAGAGGCGTGGTATTAAATACCGAATTCAGTCTGTAAAGATCTGGTGGAAGCTATACCGAAAAGGGTCTCTGCCATACTCGCAAACAAAGATTTTCTTATAAGCTTTTTTAGTTAGTTAATAGTCTAATATTTACGAGTTTTCGTCCCTTGATTCTATATGATATTTTATTGCCAATTGAAGTTCCTGACAGTTCCTTTAAAAGTTGTCTGCTGATAATACTTAAATTTATATTAAGTTATTTTTGCTTTTGAAATGTTTAAAATACATTTTATTAACTATCAAAACAAATTGTTTCCTAAGAAATGTAGTAACACGGTTTTTGTATATAGTTCTGAGTAAAATTTTGATTCTATTTTATTGTCAGTAACTGTATATTTATAAATCTTACGAAAATAACAGTTGTTGCTGCTGATTAAACGTGTCCTATGTGGTTTAAAGCGTAGGTTTTTATAACTATATCGTATATCCAGATCCAGTTTGGCATCAGAAACATATACAGGTATATTCGAGCTTTAAAATTGCCTCAAATAGAATATGAGAATAAAACGGACTGTTGTAAATAGTCTCAATTATAATATAAGTGGATATTTTAAACCCAATTCAAAAGGAAATTAGTCTTATATTTCGTATGGAAGCTTTACAATTGTGTACTTTCAATTATTGTACATATGAGTGAGGTTCGTTGGCAGTCCTATGCTATAGTGTCCGATCTGAAAAATTTGTTCGTAAGGTATCTCGTCAATTAAAATAGTTTTCCATACGTTTCTGATCGTTCTGTTTGTATGACAGCTATATGCTATTGTGGTCCGATATCGTTGGTTCCGACAAATGCGCAATTTCTTGGAGGGAAATAGACGTGTGCAGAATTTTAGAGCGGTATCTCAAAAATTGTGAGACTAGTTCGTGTCTAGACAAATGAACATGGCTGAAGCGACTCAGTTCGTCACGCTGATTATTTGTATATACCATATATTTTATGGGGTCTCCGACTTTTCCTTTTAAATGTTACAAACTTCGTGGCTAACTTAATATACCCTGTTCATGGTATAATAACCAAATTGTCCCATACAATTTTCTGATTACTACATATTGTGCAAATATTTAACATTCCGCACACTTACAAACGCCGTTATCAAATACGATCTTGTCGATAGTCTAATTTTAATTCCTTTTGAAAGTGAATCGAAAACTTTCGCAGTTGGAGCATTTGTGTAGTTGTTGGATTTTAAACTTTTGTCGTTATGAAAGTCATGCATGCGTTTTTTTCCATCAGTAGGAATAACGTTATCAATAGTCATAAATCCTTCATAGAAATTTTCACTCGAAGACACTCTTTGGAATTCTCAAATGGTTTGTTTTGTTGTTATAGCAACAAAAACCATTACAATAATAATTGATGTTGTTTTCGGTAATCCTACTGACTTAATACTCGATCACATATAAAATCAAGTCTCTTCTAATTACATAAACCCGACAGTCATGTAATTTGTTTGTTGAGATTTACGGATGTCTTCTGGAACGGCACTCGTATAAGCCAAGAATAAGTAGTACCAATGCCAAAATAGAAACCAAATCGTGAGTGCTTGAGAGTATTGTAGCGCATATTGACTATTCTTTTTTGGGAAGACATTTCGGAATATTTAGTTTTAAGCTTCTTAATTTTGCAGCGTATTGATGAGCACAAACCTTTTGTATGCTGAAGTTAAGCAAGTGGAACAGTAAAGTAAGCATAATCAGGATGAATGTGGGTGCGCCATTTAGTAAGTATCTACAGCAGTGTTCGAGGAGACACAAAGTATGACAAAAGTAAATTTTTCCTAAAAATTCAAAACTGCACATTAAAAAATTGTGTATCAAAGCTTTTGAGCGTTGTTTGAACACAATATTTCCCAATTTAAGAAAAAAAAATATAATTAATATAATTTTTAGTAATTCGGTAGCTATTAGACAACAAGAAATTAAAATTTTTTTTTAAATGAATATTAATAAACATGTAAATGTATTTTTTAAATTATTTCTTCATACAAGATATGTGTATCTACTTTCAGAATGTCCTGCACAACCACACGTATTGAATTGATGAAAAATATATTCAATATTTTTTTCATTACCATATACATACTTAAATTTTTAATGTAATGCATTGGAATTTCACTATATACATATTTGCATATATTTGAGTACTTTTGAAAATGAAAACTGATAGTTTACAATTTCATATTTCTTTCAGCGCAGGCGCACACACGTTTACAAATGAATATATTTTGTTATTTATCAACTCTCTCCCCAATGCATACAAATAATGTATAGGCGCGTGTGTGTGCGTGCAGCGACAGTAGATTTTTCAGTTTGTGCGCTGAGCATAGGATCATCTGTAGGATGAAGGCATACATTATTACAAGATAACAAAAGTCAAACCGAACCGAATGAAATTTCGAAAAGGTGAAAAAATAAACAAAAAATGTGAGACAACGTCTTTTTGAGTTGTTGTAAATCAGGTAATATTATTTTGCACTGTATGTTTTTATTTATTTAAAAATTTCCAAACACGTATATTCAGATGAAAATGATAATGACGAAACAATTTGATTGCAATTATTAGTAAGCCGAATGAAGAGAGTAGAAGTCTAGTTAGAATTAAAATGTTGATTGTGTATTTTTTTCCAAAGAATTGTTATTTTTTTAAAATTATTAATTACAATTTTTGTTCGAATTTTGAGCATTAAAATATACTCACCTCATTTGTTTTTAGATAAACCCTTGTTAAATCATAAATAACAATTTTTAAGTTAATTACATAACAGTCTAAGTGTGATCCCCTGCCATTTTCAGGGATCAGGCGTCTAACCTAACCTAATTATCAAAAGAGTGTTAGGTGAACGACTTGATGCATTTTTAATCCTTAGCCA